TAATTATAGAAGGGGTTTTGTGGAGATTTAGTATTTATCATTGTTGAAATATTAAAGTCTATTTATAGGTTCAAACTGAATTAGAATTGGAATAAACTATTAAAATTTAACAAAGTGTTGGAAATAAATGTGTTTATTCACACTTTATTAGTTCACATCGAAAACGATCTATGGAAAAAAGAAAAAGTAACCACTAATTTAAAATATGAAGGTACTGTTTTCAAACCAAGGTAAGGTCGTAGGTACCTAATTCCGAGAAATCTAACGCTAAAACATAATGAATGTCTAATGTTACTGGGTTTTCAATCAAACTACAACTGATGACAATCTGTGAACATTACCATCTGATAATTAAACTTATTTGAATCAAACGTAATAAAATTATGTTAAAGACTGATATAAGAGAATAATATAGACTACTATCTAATGTATTTTTTAGAGCATATCACGTAGAGAGAAGCCCAACGTTGCTTAACTGTGGTGATCGTACGAGAACCGGTGCTTTCAACGTGCTATGGTCGCCTGCTAGAATAAATATGGGTATGGATATATACTCGATATCTTAAATTGCATGCCCTAATATAGAACATCAAACAGAACTAAACAACGACGAATATGTATATTCTTGCCAACAGATATCAATAAAACGTCCAGAAAAGGTAAGTTAAAGTATGTATTTTCATGTTGCACTTGTACTCTAACTTATTATAATGAAATAAAATCAGGATATACTTCTATAAGGCACACAAACACATACCTATTTAACATCAAAACAACACAGTTTCGTCTTTACCTTATCTTTTCTTCTAAGAATTGTTTTTTTTCCAAATACTTCAACACTTTTCTTTCGCATCAAAAAATATACTCCTATAACCATTTTCAATCATCATAAATCATTTTCAAATTAATTTATTCACTTGAGAATAGGTAACTTTTTTAAAATCAGTATCTTCTACAAAACTTATAAAGTAAGTTTTAGAGAAGAAGAAGAAGAATAGTTAGCATGAGATTTGTCTGACGAAAATAAATGTTGTAGTGGAATGATGAGTAAAGTCAATGTGAAATGTGTTTGATTTTAGATTTACAAGTTATATATGTTAGTATTCCCAACTTTATATGAGATTGAGTCTATAACGTTCGTGTTTCATAGCCAACACAACACATGGAAGCAACTGATTAGGAGTTCAGTGCTGTTATTTTAGAAATTGATCAATTAGTGATACAATAGGACGATCACTCAATCTTGTTTGTGACGTGCCTCATTATTACTATGATTAAACTCCAGTTTCTTGCGCGAGATCGAAGGCCCTGACTTCGAGTTCCTCGTGTGTGATCGTGGTGGCGCTCTGCCGAGGAGTCCTGTACTAGGACTAAATGGCCGTCCAGTACTTCCAGGTTTTCAATGGTGGTCTGGCTTAGATCGACTAGTGAGTTCAACTTTGAAGATATTACAATCTCTACAAATCCCCATAAATTTCAGTTATTACCGACTGCTGTTATAAATTTCCTAATACATAGTCAACACTGACATTCTCCAATTAATTTACAGATATTTAAAAAAAGCCACACGATAAATATATGGAACATATTAAAAATACCTAATATTCATTTGATAAAATGTATAAGGAAAGATTAACAAGTGAATAGTAATCTATTCAGAGAATACTAAGTATATTCAACAAGTATAATTCTTGATATGTCTTGAATAACTTAAAACGATCAACTCCTAGTTAACTTCAGATATTACTTATATCCACATAAGTAGAATATGGACATGGTCAGGCATAGAATGTATTAGGACAGAAGATTGATGAGGAAAGAACAAAAACGAAGCTCAATCGGTATGAAAATGCATGAACAATTAAACCAGAGAAAATGTAATGATATTTTCAGAAGGAACAGTCAAGATTGAGATAATTGATTGTTAAATTCAATCAGTACTGTTTGTTTGAATTTTCCGATTGATGTTTACGATTGCAACTGGTTAGTCTCTAATTGGAATATGTGCAAACTGTAGTATTGCTTACAATGCTTGTGAATAAAGGCTATATCGAGGCAATATGCACAGTATGCACATATGCCAATTAGAGACTGACCAGTTACGATCCTAAACATCAATGGGAAGATTCAAACAAACAATACTAAGGGAATTTAAACTTCACCCCATTGCACAAGCAAGCGGATATCACCACTCAGTAGCTGAGTGGATAACGAGATGGCGTTTGAAGTTAACGGTACTGGGTTCGAGTCACAGAGTGAACATCAACTCGGAAATGCAAGTACATCCAGCTGACGAGTCCCATATATGGACGAAACGTACGTCTTGTATTCCACTGCTGGCCACTATCCATCTTTGCTTACAATTGATTATTATTTTGCAAATTACCTGTTTACTGCATGGTTATTAGATTTTAATGAGATAGTCTGTAATTTGTGCTTATATACATTCGACAGTCCCCATCCGTGTTCTTTTTCAATACAGGAGTTGTCACTAGAAAAAAACAACTCTCTTTCATAACTCTCTCTATCCATATAGTTGACACTAAGCAAAAATCCTAACATTATAGTACTGTTAAAGTACTATTAAAGAATAGTTTGTTTATAATATACTATATATATATATATATATATATATATATATATATATATATATATATATATATATATATATATATATATATATATATATATATATATATATATATATGTAATTCATTTCAATTCATCAATGAAACGTAAGCAATAACTTGTGAACTTTTTTTCCAACAGGATAGAAAACTTTTCATAAGTAGAAAGCGAAAAAAAAACACCACCTAGAGATTATAATTATTAGTGTAATAAAGTAAATTATAATTTGATTCACATGACTTTTTCAACATTTTGTTCGTTGTTTGTTTGTTTGCTTTTTTCCTTCTTCTTCTTCTTCTTCGTTGAATATCTCACGGGTGAAATGAACTAGTTTTCAGACAAACTCATTTATTACATGTGTAAAGTGTCATTTCATTGTAGAGTAAAAAAATTGAAAAGAGACTTTTGTTTAATGAGAGATTATAGTCAGTAAACCCCTGGTGATTGTTTATCTACCGTGTAGTAATGTAACGTATTAAAAAGCAGTATGGTAAGCAGTATGGGTATTTTCTGTAATGTAGTAACATTGATTTAGTAGGCTTGTTTATTGTTAACGTTTTGTACATTGACTTCAAGCAAATAACTTAAAAGCCTATAATAACAACTGACCATGAGCTAGGCAAAATCTAGTCAGTATAGGACAGTTGTTTTACCCTAAAATTACATTACATGTTTGCAACTTTGCCAGAATTTAAAACCTGGACTAGTAGTCCTCATGGCGAGCTCGTGACATTAAACTGTCATAATTCATGTTATATTTTGATTGTGACTACATTGTGACTCTGTATTTTTATCCAAGATTTTTTATTTATCGTCTTTCTATGCAAATGAACAGTAACAAAAGCTTTAGTAAATAAGCTGATGGAATAGCATTACATATGAATAAGTACTTGTCCTGCACATAAGGAATGCGACTGAGTGCTTTCAATAGTAAATATTACACTATCTGTTCATGTATTTATTCCGAATGTCTTCTTGCTGAACTGATCAATTTATTGAAAAGAAACATCATCCTGCCAACTTAGTCTTACACCTATCATTTAACCAAAACTATTGATATATTTCTTAGGATTTTGTAGCATATCAGAAATCCTGGTGGAAATATTTTCAGAATAAAAAGAAGTTGACTGTTTTTAAGCGTATGACTAAATAATAAGCCAAATTATGGGACTAGTTTTTACCATAAACATATATCAGTTGATAAAACCACTGAGAATCAAGTGACATCAAAAGTTAAAAAATCGACAGTCCTACATAGAATCATCACAATTTTTCGAAAAGTAATTGAGGTTGAAAGGAACTACTATCAGTGAATTTTGTTTCAATGATTAGATAACATAGTGCGTATCATCAAATCACAGGACCTGAGGTCTTATTACCTGTGGAGTCCTCTACCAGCATCTAAGTAGCAGGAGTAATTCACCATTGCTTGATAATGAATAGTTCTATAAGGATGGTCACTTTCCAATTAGGATTATTTTCACTGTACAATTTCGTTTACAAAATCTCACTAGTAAATGATTAAAATGTTGCTATTTGTATGCATACATCAGGGTAAATAAGTCAATTTTTTTCAATCAACCATTCACTTCTTAAACAAGTTAACCTAATAGTTGGTATGTTGTTATTGCGAGGGTACAATTACACTTTTGACCATGTTATTTTGTTGAAATACTTGTTAATAAGTGGGCATTTTGCTCATGACACAACAATGAGTTCATAGTCATTTACTATGTGACTTAGTAGTTATTAAATCTTATATGGAATTGACAGTTTGCATCACTGATTTATCTTAAGTGAGCGAGCACAAACAAATCGTCAAACAATCTCTCTCCTCTATAATGATTCATGAAACCCTTTTTAAACACACTGTCAACAATTTTGTAAACATTTATTAAAGTCTCATCTTTAATCGACAACATATATATATATATATATATATATATATATATATATATATATATATATATATGTTTTCTCATTCCCTACACGGTGGAATTCCTTGGTCACGATCTCTTACCAGGATTTTAAGGTTTAACTCCTGTTATTATTTAGCAGTAGTAAAGCATGATTCGTAAAAACGGTAGGCAGATTAGTTTCCTGAATTCCTAAGCATTACATTATGAACAGACCACAGTTAGGTAATCCGGAAGTATTGTTTAAATATATTATTCTAATATTATAGTCATCTACAAGTTCACTCGTCTCCCGATATGAAAACAGACACAGATACTTTAAGGTTTTCAACCATCGGAATACTAAATTAGCATCCAATAGTTTGCAATTATGACTTTGGACAACTTATTGTATCCTCATTAACCTAACTAATATTAGCTAAATATACAATAATAGAGAATTGAATAATTACTTACTTCACGATTAGCTTGAACTGCTATAAATTCTGTAAATATTTGATTTGCTTTAATAGCCAATTTTTTTGGATTAGTAGTATGTTTGTAATCTTGACATGCAATCCAAAATTCAATATTTTCATCACTAAATTCAGTACTGAGAAAATCTTTAAATAAAGCAAGTCCATCTGTAAAAAAAAATATTTTCGTAATGTAAAATAATGATTAGAGAACTATTATAACGTTTATATATTTGTAATTTGTTAATACCATATCTTACTTATTATGTAATCAAAAGAGTATTTATGTCATATTCTGTCATCGATTGAATTACTATCAAAACTTTGGCTAGCATTAAACAGATAGTTCATCTTAGTTTGGGAAAGTTTAACAATCAACTTGTACGTTCGTAAATAAGATCAACCTCAGGACATTCAGCTTTAGAAGCCGTAATCATTTTAAGTGAATTTTTACACTTGCCGAGTTTGTAAATAAATCCAATCATCAAGACATGTTATCAGTAGATTATTCACTTGATCATTACATGATTAACTTTACAGATGCAAAACTCTTAGTAAAACAGAAAAAAATCTACCTCATCGTTTATTATTAGTGATCATAAGAATAACGACGAAAAAGTTGAAATATAGATATATCATGTTATACCATGATTAGCGCTTTAATGTATTGACCTACAATTCGTTAGATCGATATTGCCCGTAGGTCTCAAATGCATACTGCTAAAGAATCCAAAAACATGACAAAACACATTTTCAGTTCCTTTTACTTTATTAATATGTGGTTGTGGAGATTGTTGAGTTTTGATTGAGATCATGAACTGACCAATGTTAGACCACCACTGAAAACCTAGAAATACTGGTCGGCCGTTTCGTCCTAGTATGGAACTTCTCAGCAGTGCACATCCACGATCATGCACGTGGGACTCAAACACAAGGTCTGCAGTCTCGCGCACAAATGCCTAATCTCTAGATCACTGAGCCAGAATCCAACAATGTTAATGTCTAACTTCAACCAACCCATGATGTTGCGCAACCATCTTCTATTGTCTTCGTTGCGTAACTGTCTCACACCCGACACAGTTGAACTCCACTTGTCATGGCTTCTCACTGAAACTATTGGAATTACGTTTCAATATGATAATCATAAGTATAGGATTGTGGAGATTGTTGAGCTTTAATCAATCGATCACTGTTAGGCCACCACTGAAAACAATATGCTATCAACTGACCACTTTGCTTGATAAACGCTTCAAATCATATACACTCCGTTTAAAACCACATACCTTTATTTAGTTTATCATTTAAAGTGAGTTAGAATTGCAAATGGGTGGTGCTAATAATTTTTCAGGATAAAAAACCAATTTGACATTTAATACTATTACGTAAATACAAACATTGTTAGAGCGCTTTACTTAAATCCAGTTATTACTGAAATTCATCATTATGAACAATTTTAAGCAAACGATTATTTCCATATTGACTATTTTGTTTTTATCTCTGTGGTGTATTTTACTTATTCTGACAGATATAAGTAGTATATAGTACCAATATTCAGTAGAAGATTGAGAAGACTCAATTGAAGAAAACAGAAAGTAATTGTATGAATAACAGAATTTAAAAAATCATGAAGTATGTAAAGGACAACCGATGGGTAGAGTACAAATTTGTGTACTAAATGTATGGTTTTTATATTATGAGAAAGCATAATACATTGATCCTTTATACTTATGTACTCGTTCAATACATTTCTATCAGATAAATGATTTCTTTTTGTTCCCCAGAATCATTTTGTCAATGATAACATTTCAATGAATCAATATTTGACCATTGGTGGTATACACTTGCAATGTACTATTGTAAAAGTCAAGGTTATCATCAAACTAATTACTAGAATCTACTCAATTAAAAAGAATAATTTCTAGTTGTTTTTTTAGTAGAAAATTTATTAAAAATTAAAAAAAAAACGGAATAAATTAAACGAGTTAATCTGTGAAATATGCTCTGGATATTTTATATTTCATAGTGAAATAATCCATAACATTCTATGAGCATATAATTGTTATTTGAACAATTCAGTTCACTTGAATGGGATCATCTAAAAGTGTTGACAATGAATATAAACATAAATAATTTAAGATTTCACGGTAATTCTCGAAAAAGCTTTAGTTTAATTAAAATATTGTTGATTCTATTTTATACGATTGCTATGAATATTTTGTTGTGTCATATAGCATTATGATAGAGAATTTGTAGAGACTGTTAAATATAAACAGTTTATATTGTGGATTGATGAAAGTTAGACTACGATTGGAAACTAGAATGCACCGAATAGCCTCCTTATCTTAGTTTGGGACTCATAAACAATGCTCATTCACAACCTATAGGGATAGAATCAAAAACTTTAGGTATTGTGAACGAATGTTTATTCTCTAGAACATAAGACTCAAATTCAGTGGTGTACATGTCTAGCTTCGGTCGATTAGTGATATTACACAACCATCTTTCATTGTCATCACCAATGCAGTTAAACCATATTGTGTGTGAAAAAGTAATCCACCAAAGGCAATCGAAGATAGTTCCATGATATCTTGAATTGCTAGGTATTAGACATATACATCACCGAATGTGAGTTAAGCGGTTTAGAGGTTAAGCGTTCTTCTCGAACCCTGAAAGTTCTGGGTTTAATCCCTATTAACATTGTGGTTGTGCTCTGCTGATTAGCGCCATACTAGGACGAAAAGCTGTTCAAAGCTTCCTAATTTTTAACGGTTGTCAAAGTAAGATTTAAATTGTTTACTCTGGTTAGCGGATTTTAGCAAGGTTGTTTTCTACAGGATCGGGTTGCTGACCGCATGTCTATCCCTCGTTCTTTACCTGGGCATCTGACCGGTAACAACCCTAAAAGAGCTGCAAGAAAATATCACCAAACTGCAGCACGAAGCAAGCGCTAATTTGGAATCCTGAAGAGAAAAGCAAAAGAGCAAGACCAAGGAAACATTGCGTTGGGGATAGGAAGTAGATAGGAAAAAGATGAATAGCAACTGGAAACAACTGGAAAGGATTATCCAGGACAGATTTGGATGGAGAATGCTAATGGGCGGCCTATGCTCCTCCACGAGAGGGTTAATAGGAGTGAGTAAGTAAGTGAGTAAGCAAAGTAAGATAAGTCCACTATATAGAATATATTGTATTGTCTGTTCTTGTCACGTTAATTTTCAATTAAATAAAGTCACTAATCTGAAGAGCAGCGGTTGAAACTGACTTAGCTTATTTATCATTTTTATTATTATTACCATCATCATTGATTATCATTGTAGCTTGTCAACTAATTTTCCATTTTCAACATTTTAACTATCAGTTAGTTATACATTAATCTTTTTATCTTCCGTTAAGAAATTCCACTCATATCTAAATGATTTGGGCGAGACTACAAATGATAGACGAACCAATCAGACTTAAGATAACAGGTTTTAGAATTTCGCGCGAAATTCATTCACTCTTTTGGTCAAATATCATGTTAGCATTAAAGCTGATGTCAATTCGTGATGATAACGTTAAATTTTATTCCTAAACCTAACGTTCAACTATATATCCTAATCCGAATTTCTCGTACTAATCAATAATCTTCATTTAACCCTAGTAAGTAGATGGATATTCCAAGGTCATTTTTGCGCTGGTCATAGATCGTACATAATCATTAGTCTCACCGATTATTCTACTTGTACTGGCCTCACTAAGTATATGTATTATTGTTCTTCAAGTCAACAGTAATATAAGACTTAATATTGAAAAATAATATGCCCCCCAATTCTGTCCATTTATTTTTATGAACAACAAATATTTTCTGAGTAACAAGTTTTCATTATGACTATGCAAATTATTATTATTACTATCAACAGAAGTAGTAGAGTAAATATTTCCATAACATATCATCAATTCAAACGAATACAGTCACATGATCTATTTTGACCAGTTTCAAGATGTTCACTTGTAATCTATTTGTTAATAAAAGAATGTTGGTAACATGATTATATGAGTGAAATTAGCTGTAACTAAGCCTATAAAGTAGATTCTAAGGAGTTAAGGACATCGAAATCTCCAAGGTCAGAATGATGGAAGAAATTACTTCAGTGTGAAATAATTAAATGTTAAAGATAAGTCATACTGGGATCTGTGAAAAATCTTTGTTACAATCAAGTTTATTTACAATCAGAAAGGGGTTTTTGTGGACATTTCTGTACTGAAAAAAACTCCTTCTGATAATAATCAACATATGCTCACTAGTGACTGGTTTCAAGAGGTATTTCGTGGAGTTCTAGTGAGAAGCAGTGACCAGTTCAGTTCAACCACGTCTGTTGTGAGATAGGAACTCATTGAAGACAATTGGTAAATGGTTGCTCAACTTTGTGGATGGCTTGAAGTTAGACATTAACGCCGTTGGATGCCGGCTCAGTGGTCCATCGGCTAAGCGCTCCGGCGCGAGACTGATAGGTCCTGGGTTCAAATCTCGTGAGACAAGGTCGTGGATGCGCACTGCTGAGGAGTCCCACAATAGAAAGTTACGGCCGTCCAGTGCTTCCAGGTTTTTCTTGATGGTCTAGCTCATGATCTCTACTATGAAAGTATTTACAATCATCTAGTGAATTTTTCCTCATTGCTAATTTATATTTTGGGATATATACTCAGAGTTTTCTTTATATAAAATAATCTGGCATAAATGTTATTCTATTAAATTAATTGAATAATTGACAAGACAGACTTTCAATTCAATATATCACTAAATATTGACTGTTGCGTGTTAGTTGGTGGCATGAAATGATATTATGAATTCGAATAGAACATTTTTATTCTAAACTGTGTGTTTGATTTTAGTGATGTCATCATTTTAAACTTCAAGACTGATTACTTCATTATTTTGAATCATTCATGTTATAAATTCAGCAATAAAAGGTTAATATATCTGTTTGGATCAATTCATAAGTCCATTAAAGCTACGTCACCATGGAAAACCTGAAAGCATTGGACGGCTGTTTCATCCTATCTGTTTGGATTTATTTTAGAACATTTTAAATAATAGTTAGCAGAGATGGATAGTGGCTAGCAGTGGAATCCAGGACGCGCGTTTCGTTATGTTGTGAACATCAACTCTGAGATGCAGGTACATCCAGCTGACAAGTCCCAAATAGGACGAAACGCGCGTCCTGGATTCCACTGCTAGCCACTATCCATCTCTGCTAACCATGCTTGTGAATTAAGGTATATCGAGGCAATACGCACAGTATGCACATATGCCAATTAGAGACTGACCAGTTGCAGTCCTAACAAATCGATGGGAAGATTCAAACAAACAATACTAAGTTGTATTTCAAATAATAGTTTATGAAAATATTTTAAACATATTTAGTAATATATGTAAAGTTTAAATACATCAAAGATAGTGGTTATTTCAAACACTATTAATAATCTGTACTTAGTAGTGTACTGATGTTTGAAACAACTCAAGCTACATCTGAGTTTTAGCGAGTATACTAACAATCATTAGAATGCAATTTCATTAGGCTGACGAGTTTAAAATAAGGCAAAACATAAGCTTACAATTTCAAAACATATACTGCTTTGAAAATATACATTTATTACAAAATCATGATTGTTCTATCTACCAATATTATCATAACTTACATTTATCATTCAATAAAGCTTCAAATGAATGTCCCCAGTTATGTATTTGTTCATAACTTGGTTTACCTGCACGAATCATACGTTTAAGTTCTTTTACTTGTACTAGTTTTGCACCAGGTTGTACAGAAGTTTTAGGTCGAAAGAATTGAAAACCTCTGGAAAACAGAGTATGTAAGACTTCCATTGAAATAAAAAATACTTTGAAGAATATAGCTTTACAAACATTAATATTAATGAAATAAAACGGTTTTACGATAAATGCAAACTGAGAATATTTAAAAATATACCTGATCACCAAAAGCTTCCACTGAGTATGGTACTAATTATGGTTGCTTCATATATGTCTGTTAAGTATCACTACATAAAACATTTAAAATGACATAAGACAAGTCTACATATAACAAAACCTTAACGTGGGATTAGTGTATTAATTCATTAAATGTTTTAGGTCTGGTTGAGATCCGCTAAATAATATTGATCAGTTAAGTAACTTAAAATGAGTCGTGGTAATGAAGATGTATTCAGTCTTTATAGTCTTTTAGATTTTGTATGACTTCATTATTATTCCATGAAACATTCCTTACTATATATTATCTGTTTAATCCATTTGAAGATCTGTTGTTAGATTCTTTCAATGATGTTTTTGTTACTTCCAGTGTTGATGCAGTATGCCATCCTAAACCAATGCACATTTCCTACAAAACACATTTAGATTATGATTGAGTGACTGATGTCCATCAATCTGGTCTTCAGTAATGACTTTGTACCCAGCTATACTGAAGCAGATGATATTATGTTATATTTCAGAAGTGACAAATAACTACAACATACTCCGCATGTTTACACTTAGTAATGAATGGCAAATATGTTTGATTACTAAAGTGGAGAAAGTGAGCTTGTCATCTGACAACTCACATCAACTGACAACATACCACTTAATTGAATGTCGATTTTAAATTATTCTGAAGTTTGCTTTTCTAGTCAAGTAGACTTATAGTAGTTAGAATTTTAATTTATAATATGGTCTGCATTTAATGCATCTGTTTATGAGTTTGAATCTTCGAGATTTCAGTTATAATATATAATATCAATAAGACGAATGTCGTCCCAGAGAATTCAACGTCGTGCATTATTTGCCGACGCTGGGACTGTTTGGATGACATGGTGTCGTAGTATGAAAGAAAGCTGCAAAAGGCTGGCTTCTGTTAGTCCTTCACGACTCCCTGTCTGGGGGTCCGAGAGATGGTGTTACACAGTGGCTAGAAACATTATCAGATATGGTTCAGAATAGAAGCCAAGGGCGATCCTGCTGTAACCATATTTTACATTCTTTATAAAGAGCGGTCATAACCTCCTCAAATGAAAGAGTTCTTCTGGTTGTACATCTCAGTTTCCCCCATCATTAGTCTTATTTTTTTATATATGCATCTTCCCTCCTTTCTCTTTGCATTCTCATTGTTTTGTGTGGCGCATTTATATCTGGTGCCCCCTTGTACCAATATTTATATATTTAAATAAGAATCAATAAGTATTTGTAATGTTCAATTGGGCATAACATGAAGCCAAATTTCATTTCAGTTAATAAGAACTTAGATGGCGATTATATTTAGTTTCTCTTAAAAATTCCATTTGCTACAAATAGTACGTTAAGGTGTTCTTTTTTGTAAAACACGTATATCTGTTTCAAGAATCTTGCTTAACCCGGAAATATTGCCAAATATTCAAGTACTGTATTTTATATAGAATGATTTACAAAAAAAACTCTCATTTCATTTGTGTTTACTAGAACTCATCTGCTTGGATGGACTATTCGAGACATCACACTATTATGGCCACACAGAAGTGAGAAATCAAAGCACTACTTGATTATTGTAAGTAAGCAAAATACTCAAACAACCAAGGTCATCGTTCGCACATATTTGCCTGGGTCACTATAACATCTTGTATATAAACGTATACTTGATTTAAGTAATTGATCATTTAGCATTTGGAATAAAGCTTCATTCTCTTTCTTAGTCTTCTCAATTTAGCATAAGTTGATTAGGAATTGTATATATTGTAATCATATTATAATCATGTCGAACTCGTAAACAGTAACATTATTGAAAATGTATGCCTTCAATTTTAGATTTAGAAAACCTTTTTTTCAAAAATATCACCAACCGCTACTACTAATGACTAAAAAAATTAATGTCTCAAGCTGCAATGTTAACTAAACGGGATTTGTAAAACCGTGACAGTGAACAAATACACATTAGTATTGTAAACTAAGATGGATAGTGGCTAGCAGTGGAATTCAGGACGCTCGTTTCGTCCTATTTCGGACTCGACAGGTGGATGTACCTGCATCTCACAGTTGATGTTCACTCTGATACTGGAATCCGGTACCTTTCACTTTAAACATCATCGCGTTATCTATATAGCTACAGAGTCCTGATAGCCACTTGCTTGTGCAATGGGGTGAAGTTTTAAATCCACATGGTGTTGTTGCCTCAATGAAAAAAAAATCAGAATAAAATCGCTTGAACAAGAAAACGTACATTTTATTCTTTTTCCCACCTATACTACCGATTGTAGTACTGTGTCTTGGTGAAGTTGAAATGAAATCAGCTGGTGAAAATGAATTTCTTGATGATCCATCTGATTTTTTGTTTCGATATTGCTGAGATGATGTTGATTTTTTCGATTCATTATCAAACATAGGTAGTCGTTCTAATGATTCATGTATAGATTCTCTTGGTGTTCCTTCATATTTATTAGCTCGTTGTAGTTGACCAACAAACTCCTAAAATAAAAAATAATTAAAGAAAAATAACTTGAATAATGAGTTCTTATTTAGCTCATTTTTCAAGGGTTTTAAAACGCTACAGAGGACAGAGACAATGACGTGATGTAAAAAAGGGTTCCACCGGAATTCATGTCTGAATATGATCTTACTTTATTTGAAAGTTGAACGTCAAACAACCAACCCATCCATTCTTTAACACTTCGTCATCTTTGATCATACCACGTTATGAAAATTTTCCACAAAAGTAACCTGCAGTGTCAGATAAACGTCTTGACAGCCACCCACGAATGGAATCGGTAAATTGTTGAATGTAAATGATTAAATGTAAACATTGAAGCCATCTGAATGCCAGTTCATTGGTCCAAAGGTTACGGGCTCATCGCAATACTTAAAGTCGCTGAGTTTGAACCTTGGTGTTGTCGTAGCAGAGCACTGCTGTGGAATCCAATAATACAAATAATTAATTATCCAGTTGTTCCTAATTTCCAGTGTTTGTTGAACTAAGATCATTTGGTAATGTTATTCATAAAAATCCACCAAATCACATAAATGGAAGCAACTGTAATTTCGGTTGTTATGTTAAGCCCATATACCTTATTCTAGCTTCTGAACAAGCCAATTTACCTACCCATCTTGAGTCTCATTTTGACCTTGTTAATTATTCACTTATTAACCCCGACTGTTTTTACATGAACGTATTGTGTATACACTTCTTATCCTATTCATTACATGTCTGTAACTTATTTTTATCTCACTATAAATATTGATTCGGGCTTGATGAAAACGAGTTGACTTAACAACCATCTCCAATGTCCGTCATTTTCGCTTCGATCTCCCCTATTCGCTTCATCCCTCTGATTTCCTGTCCAGATCAATGAATACGCAAAATATGTGTATTCGAAATCCATTCTTGTATTTTACTTATTTAACTTCGTTATTCATCAACGCGGATTAATTCATGTAATATGTATGAGGGTAGAAAGTATGTTTGTTTTGACAACAATCATTCATACAATTTATTTTGAGTCAGATCCTAGCTCCCACAAAAGTGGTGAGCCGCATTTGAAACACACACCATTTCTCTACACAACCAAATGTTGCAAAGTTGAAGTTTACAAGAAAATAAAGGACTTGCTTCTGTGTATAATTCCATAGTAACCTTTAACGATGCATACTTCACATTAATTTCATACTTCATTTATTCAGTTGTTGATTTTTTCATGAATGAACAAACTCATCCAAATCAGTAGTTTAGAGTGATAAATGAAATATTCCCATTTTCGAAATTCACTAATGTTTACAGTTCAATGGTAAAACAAATAATTGATATTCTTCTGTAAGTAGAATACGTATAAATTATTCGCTCGATAAAATCAATTAGTTACCATGGTATTATAAATCATAAAACTTACGTTGCTACTGTTCTACGTGAGAAAAGTACTATATGAATCAGATTAACTATGAATGATGTTTTAAAGTATAAAGCATTGACTGCTTATTTTTCACAATTGCTTGATCACTGGGTGGCGATCAATGTCATGCGTATCAAGTACGTCTTAGTGCTACTTATTTTTATTTAGAAGCATCTTCAAATAAAAAATTCAAAAAAGACTTCTAATAAGTTTTTTTATCACTTATATCAACTTGGCTGGCATTCAAAGAAGATGAAGAAGGCAAGTAAAATAGCGGATAGTGATCAATAAAAGTTGGACTCAACTAAAAAGCAAATGAAGGACTATTACGATGCTAATTTCGATTTATCAAACGAATTAATTTTTAATATTCAGGAGTTTTGTGGAGATTTCAGTATTTTCATAGTTGAAATCATGAGTCAATTGAAACTAGACCACCATGAAAACCTGGAAGCACTGGACGGCTGAGGAGTCCCATAATAGTAAGAAAAGGTCGTCCAGTGCTTCCAGGTTTCCCATGGTGGTCTAACTCCAATTGACTCATGATTTCAACTATGAAAATTTTTCATATAACAAAAGAAAGTTCATAGTCATTCAAAAAAATGAAGATAAGTCACTAGACAAAGTATTAATTCTTGACGATATCAATTACTTACGTTATACTGTCATTTGACAAAGTTTTGAAAAGTTTCCAAGTATTAGATAAAGATTAGTCAGTAGTTTTGAAGGTAATAAAAAAATGATGAAGAATGTATAAAACACCTGTCTACCTGATAAATATCAAGAAAATGTAAAACAAACGAAAAAACGCTGATCACAACCCATAGGATTCGAAGTATTCCTCTCAAACACAGAGATTAAATTTGAAATGACTAATAGTTAAGTTATAAAACTTGCATATATTTCATTTGACTTTATTTATAATCATGAAGGATGCTTATGATAACAATTATTTTACCAGTGTTAACCATGTATTCAAGGATTGAGCTGTTGGCGAAATTGCATACCGTTTTATGTAGTCATTCAGTGTGGTGTTCGGATGCGGATTAAAAACTTCTGTTCACATGTGAATTAGTCAACGTAGCCTAATGTATAAGAAAAAGCGAACTAACAAATGCACACTAAGATACCTTAAAGTAGTTGTTTATCATTGGATGAAGTATCTAATAAAAAGATAATCTGGAGCTCCGTCGAATAAAATGTCTTTATCCGATATCTTGATAGTACAGTGTTTAGGATTCCTGCCATTATATCGACATTCATAAATAAAATATTCTTCTGTACGCCAGGACTACACTTAAACATAAACTACATTTGTAAGAGAAAAATTTGTTAAAAGAAAAGTAGTGTCGAAAGATGACGTCCTCTTTCCGAATATTTTGACATCAGCTATTTATTCCAAGAATAAATGGCTTATATTAAGTCACGAAACGTCAGAAATACAATTTCTCTACTAATTGGGATATAACAAAAATATATTAAAAACGAAAATATGTTGCAACTGTTGATCTGATTTCTTATTGTTTAAAGAATTCCAACCAACTCTTTGCTGATTTTATGGTAAGGCGTGTCATACATTTTCATTATGTGGCGAGGCGGAATATCCTTCTTTATCAAACTTAAGAGGTCATAGAATCGTGTAAATTTATAGAAATGACTGATTTATCGTTAAATATATCTTTCTCAGAAGTTTAGTAAACTTCTGATAGATATGGTCCGTTGTATTCTGTTATTAATTTCTGTGGAGGATTAATCTACGTGTCTGTATAAAAAGTAATTAATCATTATTATTATTATTATGATGATTTATGTGAACATTCCCAGCCTCTTTATCTAAATAGGGCAACAATAAATCTTCATTTTTTGAGTGAAAAGTCCTTTGATAGGAAACGCTTCATAATATATCTTATTTCAACTCATTGGTGATAACAGTTAGAAAAAGTTGATTTATGTTATTTAAAATTCCTGTCATCGGCGACGCTTAAGTCAAATTATTGCTTGATATGACTTTTAAGTGTGATGTTGTAAACGTTTGAACCTAGCAACAACATCGGCGTTTGAAAGGTGAATAGTAGTTTGTTGGAATAGTTTAATATGTATGTGCTCTCAATGAATCGTTATGTTCATTTCCTGGCAACCTCAAAATAGACCTATTTTTCCTCAAAACCACACAATTGTCATGGAGTTCACCTTGAAATAAATTTGTTTTTGTTTTAAGCACTAAAACATATTCAGATGAAATGTTTTTTTAAATTCTATTTTTTCTTATTTTTATCCTTCAAACTTGAGAGCAGTTATTTTTTAAACCACATAGTTTTCATAACCTCAAAGGTTATCTTGCGTTAGGTAACTATTGGTTTTATGAAAACAAAGGAAAATGAGAAATGATTCTTACTACTTGCTTACTTTACATCACAAACTCACATTGATTAAATATCCATCTAAAAACAGAAAACACTGGACAGATGTTTCGTCCTAGAATAGCGTCCCTCTCCAGCACTCATCCACGATCTTACCAAAATACCAAGCTTGGGATCTTCAAGTCTCTTTGCAGGAGCACAAACATTGAGTCACCAAGCTGGCACTCAACTGCCTACATGTTTAACTTCAACCAATGGAACTTCGCGTTCACAGTAGTGAAGAGCACTATACTATAATAAAAATGCTGTCCAGAGTTTCCTGTTTTTCTCTGATGATCTAAGTAAGATTTTTGCTTCATTTAAGTCATGAAAAAGAAACGAAAACACTAGTAGAAGAAGTATTTGTTTGAGGAAATGTGAAAATAGAAGTCTGAAAAAGAAATGTGAAGAAGAAATCAAGTTTAGTGAAAGCAGTAATAAACAATTTAATCATAATCTTCGTGTATTTCAATCATGAATAATTTTTAGAAAATGTTTTTAGTAAATCATCTTTTATTGACTTCTTTGCTTACATTAGATTTAGATCAAGACCTTAATGTACGTATTAACGTGTGTGAACCCTGAACGGCTTTGTACTTTATGGCACATGACATCTAAGGATAATAATGAAGAAAATATAGGATTAAAATTTGGTCGCTACATCCAATCATTTAATAGAGTATCAAAATGCGGAAGTCGAGGTTGAACTTAAGGCAAACATTAAATTTTGAAATTTGTGTACAATCTTTTTAAGCAATATTATTTAATTATTTTACTGATAATTCATACGAAAAGATTATTAGCCAGTATAGATTATCAAATATAATGACACTATGGATTAATTGGCAGTTTTAAAGATAGTTATGGCAGAGCATCGTAAATTTACCCAAATGTTCTTTTAATGCTAAAAATATATTCATAGTTGAAAGCGTGAGCCAATTGAAGCTAGACCATCAGGGAAAACCTGGAACCACTGGAAGGCCGTTTCGTCTTATTGTGAGACTATGAAAATACTAAAACCCCTTCTGATACTGGAAATATATGTTTATAGAAAAGTATAAATAGACGTTCTGAACATCATACTTTATTTTTTCCTGTGAAATCTGGATAATTCAACTAATTTACAGTTAACTTTAAAATGATGAAAACGTATTGATATTTCTACGCTTATTCATATGTTGTACTC